CACCCACCCACCCACCCCCGGCTCAGGGAAATTCATTCAGACAGCAAGCATAAAGAAATATTACTTGCTTCCAAAATCTTGCCCCTCTCTCACACACATGTACATAATGTACAGCAGAAGGAAGCAAAAGATGAGAAACCCAGATGAGGAACTAGATGGCAAGGCTAATCCAAGCAGAACCGTACCGCTGATTCATACCAGCAAACGCACCATTTCATTTCTCTACGATGGACCTTGTTGAAGGGAGACAAAAGTGTCTATCTAAACAGTTAATCTCCAAGCCAAATCCCAGGATCCTGCAACCCATTAGACCCCAGGCGGAGATTAGACTTGATAACTAACAGCACAATAAGCTATAAACTGGGAGCTACGGGCAAGCGAAGAAGTGTCTGCAGTGGTTCTAAATGATGCAGCTGCTGCCTTCACAGAGCCTTCTCATCCCTTGCCTTGTAGATGATGTGGTTTGTCAGTTAGTGCATTTTGATCAGATAAAATGTAAAGTTCATTCCCTCTTTTCCCTGTCATCCTTCTGATTTTTTGTAGGCAGTGCTAGGTGCTTTTGCTTTTAACCATACCCAGAACTAAAGCTGCTTTCACCTGAACAAAAGCGCGGCCAGTTAATCTTTGTTGCTCTTATATGTGGTAGAACAAACTTGCACATCTGTTTGATAAGTTAAAAAATAATACAAAATATTGTTTATTCTTCTGAGGAAAAATCATTACTTTTCAGTTGCATTATCTCACAGTTACCAAGAAATAGGTAAAGTCAAGTAAAAAGTGAGTGTCATAAATTGTTCTGCTCTCTTTTGCATGTACTGAGACTTATATCTTGGAAACGGGAAACATGACCCCATATTTCAGAAATAAAAGATGAACTAAGATGCATCTACGCATCTGCAGGATGTGTACTCATCAGAATAAGAGCTGAGGTTTACTCAGCATGTGGTTTTCCTGCAAGCAAACCTCCACCACAGGAAGGCCTCAAAGAGGCAACACGGATCCACATTTTCAGAACAACTGCTTGTTTGCTTTCCTCAGACAATGGCAGTTTAATTCTGTCCCACAGCACCCACCACTGGCATTAAGCCACAATAGGAAAAGTCTCATTCAGAAAATGCATATAAATCAATTGGCTCTTAAACTGATAACCTTCATAAGGCAGACTTTACGCTTCTTTGAATATTGCTCTTTTGCCAATCAGAATTCAGGCCACCAAAATGAACCCATTTTGCTAGATAGATGCCCATATTTGTATTTTTAGCTGGGACAGACCTCTCTTAAATAAGCAGTTCTGTCATATTTTCCTTGGCTACCTTGCAGTTCAGTTGCTCCAGTCATATTTATTTAGTTATTTGATTTATATAGCCTCCCATCTCACAAATGTGAATCTAGGCAGCTTACAATAAAATAGATAAAACAGATAAAATGCATAATATAAAAATAAAAACACATAGCAGCCAAGCATCACAAAATGGCCATCAACAAAGCCAAGAGATGGGCTTTTCTAACTCATCCAGGGCCCCAGGCCCAGGCACAAAACCAAGTTTTCAAAGCTTTTTGAAAGGTCAGCAGGGTCAGGGCTAACCTAATCTCAAAGGGAATGATATTCCAAAAGGCAGGCGCCACAGCAGAAAATGCTCTCTTCCTGAGCCCCGCCAGCCAACACTGTCATCCAGAGTATGTCCCTTCTGCCGTACCAGGTGGAATGGGTACAGACAATTGGGGAGAGACAGTCCCACAAGTTGCCTGGTCCCAAGCCATGAAGGGATGTAAAGGTGACTAACAGTACCTTGAATTGCACTTGGAAGCACGCTATGAGCCAATACATCTCACCAAGCAGTGGTGTAACACACGCTGAATAATTGATGCCACTGGCCACACTGCCACGTTTTGCACCAGCTGAAGCTTCCAAATGCTCTTCAAGGGCAGCCCCATGTAGAGCACATTGCAATAGTCCAGTCTGGAGTTCATGAGGGCAGAGCTTCCCAGTCCAGGAATGAACACAACTGATGCATACCCCAAAGGTGTGCAGAGTCCCTTTAGCCACAGCTGCCACCTGCTCTTCAAAAAGGAGCCGTGAGTCCAGGAAGAGCCCCAAATTGTGCACCGGGTATGTCTGGGGCAGTGCCACCCCATCCAGAACCAATGATGGAAGGTCCCTGTAACCAGGAGATCCAAAAAGCCAGAGCCACAGAGTCTTGTTTGGATGTAGCACCCTATCCAGACCCCCACATCCTCCATGCACTGAAACAGAACCTCCATGACATCATTCAGACAACCTGGGGTGGAGCTATAAAGCTGAGTATCATCAGCATACTGATGATACCTCATCCCAAACTATGGGATGAGCTCACACAGCAGCTTCAGGTAGATGTTAAACAGGAGGGGAGAAAGGACTGAGCCCTGCAGCACCCTGCAAAGGAGGCGTGGCAGGCTGGATCTCTCCCCACCATCAATACCAAATGGAACTGACCCCAGAATAAGGAGGAGAACCAATACAACACAAGGCCACCCACCCCCAACACCTGGAGCTGCCCCAGAAGTATACCATGATAGATGGTATTAAAGGCTGCTGAGAGGTCAAAAAGAGCAAAAAGGGACACACCACCCCCATCTCACTCCCGCCAGAGATCATCCAAGGGTGCAATCAATGCCATCTTGATCCCATACCCAGCCCTGAACCCTGACTGAAAGTTTAATGTAGGTTAGTTCACTGAGTTGTAAAATAATGTTAAACACATTTTAAAGCAGCAGCACCCACAATAAAAGAGATAAAAATAATTTGTATTGCTAGTAAAAAAATCTAGAGAGATCATTTTACAGAAATATGGCCAAAGCTTTCAGGTGAGAAAAATAAGGTCTAATTTAAATTCCTGACTGAATTTGGTGCTCCTATAACATATTAATATCCCTTTTGATCCAGTTAAGTCTGTTGTGGAAACAGGTGGAGTATGTTTCCATAGCTGAAGGTAGACTTGAACCAGAATCTCCAGCTCTACAGCATGCTGATTCTCTAAACATCTGTATGGCTTAGCATCATGTAATGGGCAAGCTATTATGACTTTAGTCCTATTCAACAACTATGTGTTTGTGTGTACAATTTAGCATGATGTGCAAACACAACCATTGAATCAAAGGACTATACTTGAATGTGCCCAGGAAACTTTTTTTTAATAAACTTTGATCACACAAATACAACTTTCTGTATAGTCCCAGATTGAAACATGGCTCCTTTCTCCTCTGTTTACCTTCTAGTTTTTATTTCTCTCATTCAATAGATGTGCCAAAACTTTAAAAAATACAATATTTTTCTTTTGTCATTAACAGTTTTTTAGTTTAACTAGTAAAAGTTAGCGATATACACCAACACACAAAAAGTACAGTATATCTGTACACTTATTTAAAGGACACAAAAACATATCTACAGCAGATCATACCCAAATTGTAAAAGTTCTGTGAACCTGGCACATCTGTGACCTTTTTCTAAACATATGTTCCTTTTAGAAAGATGTTATGCTATGTCTCTATTACTTTACTAACCAGTCATTGGAGATGGACTAAACATGGAACACTGGATAGCAGTGGAGGGAAGGGGGCCCATGGGACTCAGAAATCCTAATGCTACTGGAAAGATTCTCCATTCAGATTTCTTGGGTTTCTCTCTGTTAAGTAGATGTCAGATTTTCATGTGTAATTCATCTATGCAAGAAAGGAGAGGGGCTTAGAAATCAGCTGTTTTAAACAAAATTATTCTGCAGGTGCCTCCTTTGTGAATTATTATCACAGGCAGTCAGAATCTTACACTTTGAAAATCAAACAGAACATACAGGGCAGCAGGCAGATATTTGTTTGTCCGTATATGAAGTGGAATACTGGGGTAGATCTATTTTGCATAGAAAGGAACATAGCAGGGTGGGGAACACAGACCACTTTCTGCACTATCTCCAAGAATTCAGCTCTCAGGATTGATATTGCTGGGTTTTATAACAATCAAATATATTTTTAAAGAATAATAGGATTAATGAGGTCCACTAAGACACATTAATGTGGAAAGCAATTGTCCCTACTAAAAGTAATGTAGGCATTATGTGTTGTAACCTTCCACAATCAGGTGCCCCTGGAGGTGAGTTGGAACCAGAATTCTAAGCCAGAGAAATCTGGAAGTTATAGTCTCAGTACATATAAAGAGCACTAGGTATGGGAAGCTGATTGTCCTTTCACAGGTATCTTTCCTTTCTTCAGGATCTATGCTATCAAATCAGCAGTATTCTCAATATATCATTCAACAATAGGATTGTACACTTATTTCCTGAAATGTGATTAAATCTGAGATGGAAAATCATTGTGATACCTTCTCATTCTCAGGAAAAAAAATACATTGCCTAATCAAAACATTGAAGATAGAAAGCAATCATTTTTCAAAAATTTATTTATGAATTTATAACGAATCGAGGGATAAAGCTTGGCCATAACATATGAGGAAGTTTAGAGTACTATATAGACAAAGTTCAAAGATTTGCCCAAGAAGCTGCATCTAGAGTTGGATTTATTCAAATGTCATGGCTTATTCCCAGTATAAATCTCTTCTATATGTTTCTTTCAACCATTAAAGACTTTTCTTCCTATTATTAATTTAACCCATATTACTGTTTTATGTTTTTTTCTGTATGCCAATTATGCTTTTGGACATATTATTTGGCCATGTTTGTATAAATCATTACTACAATTTATGGCTTGCTGGAACTAAATCTGTGACTACTACAGCTAACCTAAACCCATTTGTTGTTGTTTAGTTGTTAAGTCGTGTCCTACTCTTCGTGACCCCATGAACCATATTGTGCCAGGCCTTCCTGTCCTTCACTGCCTCCCTGAGTTTGCTCAGTTTCATGCTCAGTAAACCCATTACTGGGTGCCATTAGATTGCTTCTTTCTGCCACCAAATTTCAATATGAGCTGGGTTTCCTGTGCCTGCTCTTTAGCATTTGAAGAATGTTTTGCCTGAAAATTAAAAAGATGATGACAAAAGTAAACAGCAGGGTTAAACAGGTAGGAAGAATAAGCACCAGATACAACAAAGTCATGTTAGCTGTTAGCCACCTACAATCATGGTGAACGGATTCAGGTATATCTGTTGCACTGATGAACCTGGAGGAGTAATTGCAAGTAATGTCACTCATGTCTCCAATGTGTATAGTTCCATGGCTGTGCAGAGTATCCCACCAACCCATTTTGCAGCAGTCATAAGGATTCTCACTGAGGTAGATCACATGCAAACTCTTTCCAAGTTGCCTTTCCATGAAGTACTGAGGTAGGGTATGGAAGAAATTCATCCTGAGATCTAGGGTATAAAGTTTAAGGTCTATTAAGGATTCTGGGAAGTACACCAAACTGTTTCCAGACAGATCCAGACTTATCAGCTTCTGAAATGCAGAAAAGTCCACCTTTGTGCCTGCAGCAGAGAGACCAGTATTCCTAAGGTAGAGTACCTGAATGGATGAAGTGATATCTTTCAAAGTTCCCAAGCCACTGATTAGCAACCTAGGATTATTAGAAAGATCTAAATATGTGAGGGAAGTCCCCTTAAAGAAATGGCAGTGCAACATGCTTAAGTCACAGCCAGACAACACAAGGTTCCTTAAGGAATTAGCATAGTTAAAAGTTACACAATTAGGACTTGTAGCATTATGTGGAAAACAGATCTGGATTGGGTTTTTACTGATGTCAATTGTAGTGATTTTTGTTACATAGATAAAAAATTGAGGTGGCAAGCCATGCAGACTGTTGGTGCTAAGATTAAACTTTCTGAGGTTGGTTAAGCTACCTCCAGAATCCAAATTCATCTGTAGCTCTGAAAGCAGGTTGTGGCTGAGATCCAAGTCCATGAGAGTATTTAGCATTTCCCTATCTTCTATGTTCAGTGTCTTTAAGCAGTTGTGACTGATGTTCAGATAAACAAGGGAAATTAACCCTTCAAAAAAGTGGTCTGGAAGGTAAGAGAATTCATTCCAGCTCATATCCAGAAATGTTAAGGAAGAGAGATTGCCATGGCTGTTTTCTTCCCAGAGCTCTTGGTTGGTGATGTTAGTGATATTGCCATCTAGGAATAGCAGTTGAACTGAGCTCTTTGAATTATTGAAAAATTTGCCATAGAAATTAATGTGATTGTGTGTCAGCAGCAGAGTCTGCAATTTATTTAACTTGGGCAGTAGTGGGAAGAATAGAAGCTGGTTGTAGGAAAGATCTAGTGTTTCCAGTTCAAAAGAAGCATCATTCTCTGCAGACAAGAACCATTCAATGTGGTTATTGCTAACATTTAACACCCGAAGTTGGGCCAAGTCAAACTGCACAATGCAAGGGATGTAGTTGTAGGCCAGGTTAAGCTGTTGCAGTACTGGCATACTTTCAAAAGCCCCAACCTCAATTTCGAAGATATAGTTCTGCTGCAAATCCAGATATTGCAGCTTGGGCAGGTTTCTGAAGTGAGAGTCATCTAGCCTCATGATGGCATTCCTTGCTATAGACAAGGATTCTAGAGAGGACAAATGCTGGATCAAACTGCCCATCATTAGCTCAGTAAGCTGGTTTCCAGAAAGGTCCAGCCTCCTCAGAGAAGTCAAAGTCCATAAAGCAGCTGCTGTCACAGAATAACTGAGAGAAAGGAAATTGTTTGCCAGAGTGAGCAGACTAAGATTCCTAATTCCAAGAAATGCCCCAGGTTCAATGAGTTCCAACCCATTTGCACACAGACTGAGGTTCTGTAGGACCTGATATTGTATGAAAGATGCATTTGAAAGAGTTTGTATAACATTGGCGTCCAGGAAGAGTTCCTCTATCCCAGCAGGCAAGTCTTCTAGGACAGAACTCAGCCTCCTCCCATTGCAATCTGCAGTTCTTTTTTTCTGCAGCAAGAAACATATAGGAAATGATGAGACCAGATGCTAAAGCCATACTATACTATACCATACCATATTATATGCTGTATACCATACTCAAATGGAGTTACATTTAGAGGAAAATATATTTAATTTGATTCCATTTCTTGAGTCCCTACATAGAGCAAATCATGCTTATGAGTCTTATGCTAATAGACTAATTCAATCAAGTAAAGTCAAGGATAATACAAGTAATGCAACCCCACTGTAGTTATCTCATGTTGTCTTAAACATAACTAATGCATAAACGGAGCATAAGATGCCAAAAGATAAACATTTTTGTATCTATGAGAAAACACCATAGAAGAATCTGATGCAACATGGTGCCCTCCAAATATGTTGGAATTTCAACTTTCAGAATTTTCAGTCAGCATGGATGAAAGCTGGGAAATCTGGGAGTTGCAAGGTATCTGAGTACCATGCTGAAAAAAGCTGCCATATTGCCCCTTATTGTAAATTCGGTATTTTGAATAGCCAAGCAAGCTTGAACAATGTGGAAAAAATTACTGTGTTATTATTATCTCATGGTAGATTTGTTATCCAGAAACATTTCCTGGCCTTTTGCTACTACAGGTAGTCCTTGTTTAGCGATTGCCTCATACAGTGACCGTTTGCAGTTATGATAGTGATGAAAAAGTAACTTTGCAACCAATCCTCTCATTTACAACCTTTGCAGGTCTGTAAAGCAAAGGAAAGCTGAAGTAAGATCATAAGCACAGTCGCAGTTTCACTTAGCAACCACTTCACTTAACAACTGAGTTGCTAGTCCCAATTGTAGTCACTAAATGAGGACTACCTGTACTACCATATTGTTACTAGTAATATGTTCTGCATGAAATTTTCATTGAAAAGTTGTTACAGTGTGGTATGGATTCCACTACAGCAAAGTATGTCCACAAGGAGTTGGCTAGCTGTACCTTCAAAGGATGGTTTAATTGATTTTCCAGCACATTGCCAACAGTGGGACTAGGTGAATTTTGTGATCTTTTCCAACTCCATAATTCCATTATTCTTTCAGAACAAGAGCTGATTTCTATATGAACTGGGTGAGGTGATGGTGCTCAAGCAAAAAAGTAACAGGAAGTGCAAGAAAAGTACTGTACTAAGATGGGAATGGTCAAGTCTTGTTGGAAGTTATAAAAATGGATGGCAACAATATAACTTCGAAGTGATCACATATAATGAGGTGCCATGAATATTGTGTTTTCTGCCTTGATTCATCTGGAACTGAATCCTAGTCTGTCTAGATGAGCTTTCAGTTGGTGTGCCTCTGTATGCATGTGCACGTCTGAGAGGGAGTGTGTGATTTTAGTCAGAAGATCATAAAAGTCGTGAAGATGCATTTGTTGCCACATATCCTAAGTAAGCAGCCCCAGAGGTATCATAAAGTATCTCTTTAAAAATCCTCTGTGTGATACTACTGCAGCAAATGAAATGAAATGTTGATTTTGGGATGATGTTCAATATAGAGCATGGCTTATTTGATAAGAGTATTTTGTCTATACTTTGCAGTATATATATAAAACCTATGCCTTGACCTATAAAACCTTGAAACTGCATGCTTTTTTACAAATCAACTTCTATACCAGAGCAACTCAAGGAAAACCTCTAATAAATGTGACTCCAATATTTCAAGAAATCATTTTACTTTGGTGTTTTTCAAGCTTTTGAACCTACAGTATGACCACCTTTCACAACAGAAATCAATTACCTTACAGATATTGCTTAATTACATTTCCAGCAGCCTAATCATCATGGGAAAGTGACTGGTAACTATTCAGCAACAGAGTCCCTCTTCTGTACATATTTTATTTTTATCCATAGCCATCCAAATCATAATACAGCATACTAGGACCCTTTACATGCAATCATCCCACTAGTAATAAGTAAGTTATAGGAACAGAAAAAAAAATGTGAGCACTGACTGACTGGCCCCATCCACATTAACTGATGAGTCTCTACTGAAGAAAGTTGGCTAAACTGGGGTGGATCAGGGACTCAAGTAGTACATTATATCAAGCTCCCCCTGCATTATAATATGAACACTTACACTAGAAATTTTTTTTGATCCCAAATGAAGACGTATGATAGTGCACTCCAATATAACAAAGCAGCAGTAGCAGCTGTTCCTATATTGGACTAGGATGATGAGGAAAATACAGTGATGGACCTATGTAACTGAAAGAAATGGGGAACCAGATGCTCTTCAGATTTTGTTGAAGTCCAGCAACAGCTGGAGAGTGACAGATTCTCTATCCCTACATTAAATCATCTTCCCCTTCTCTCTACCCCACCTAAACATGTAAAATTCAGATCCACAAAGAAACTAAACTAATTGTACTTTTAAAGAACATCTGCAAAATGAAAAGATAAATAAAGCAGTTGAACATCCTAATCTGTTAGGGTAATTTTTGGATTCTTGGAATTATTGACATTTGGATCAAACTCTTAGAACTAATATGTTGCTGCAGCCACTACCATTTAAACAAATCATCTCTCCTCTCCCCATCTTTTTTCTAGAAAGCCCAGTCATTTCAGGTTTGCAGAAGACTCACTAGTTTGCAAATACTGTGATACGTTGTGGGTTTTGTTGCCCATCCTGTATCCAGGAAAGCTATGCATATGGAGAAAATCACAGCAATTAATGCCATTTCAACAGGACTCCTGCAAAGAGAGAAAAAGTAAAATAATAAAATAAAATTAGGAGACTTGTATTGCCTTTTCCTATTTACAGAATTAGGCTGCCTACTGGAAAGCATCAGTTCCAAGTCATTCAAACAAAAGGAGTATTTGCGTTCATATCTGTTTCTCTACAAATATTCACCAGGCTTTCATTGTGAATGTTTTTTTCTCTCTGAAAAACACACACCAACCTTCACAGACGACCCTAAAATTCTGCTGTATAAGCATGTAATACAGAACTCTTTACATTGCTTTCAAATTTGGGGTCCATATATGATTCTAGGTTAAATGTGAGGACCTATTCATTTATTTGATTTCTATCCCACCTTTATTTTGTACAACTCAAAGTGGCATACATAATGCTCCTACCTATTTTTCACACAAAAACAACCCAGTGAGGTAGGCTGGGCTAAGAGATAGTGACTGCCCAAAATCACCCAGCTGGCTTCCATGCCTAAGGCAGAACTAGAACTCGTGCTCTAGTTTCTAGTCCAGCACCTTAACTGCTACATCAAACTGTCCTTCATAGTTAAACAATATGAGGTTTAAAAGTGGTTAAAGGTGGTTTGAAAAGCCTCTCCTTTTCAGTGGTTGGTCTACATAAGCCTTCCTCAATATGGGCAACGTCCAGATGGGTGGATTTTAACTTCCAGAACTTTGTAGCCACTATCACCATTGCTCATGATTCTGGGAGTTGAAGTTCATATATCTGGGGATGGCTGGTCTACATATTTGCTTATTTTATGTCATTATCATTTCTGATCAAACAGAATTTGCAAAATGTTTTTGCTGAAAGCAAATGTGGGGAATACACCTATAGTAATAACTGAAAAAAATCTGCCTCTGCATGGCATTTCTAGCCAAAATATATATGATACCAGAGGCTTAGGTTGGACTAAACTTGTTGCTTTTTACCGAAAGATATCTGCAGAGGCAGAACTTTGTTTCGTCAAAGTAGTGATGCTGAGGGATGGGGGCAGGGGGAAAATTAACATTTTTTTCTCTGTCATTTCCTAATCAAAATCTCCCCACTCCTAAAGCTATTTTTAGCCCTAAAGATGGGACTATTTAACAGGGGAGAAGGCACTCACTGTCTGCATTCTTGCTTGATGCTAAATTAAGGTTTTCACAACCATGATTTGTTGGACATGGCATAATGGCCTGGTTTGCTGTAAGCCAAGGGCACCTATCTTTTTCAGCTACAGGGCACTGAAATGTTGAGAACACGTGGTGGGTTCTTTCATAAAAAGACTCCCTGAAAGCCCTATCCATTCACAAAATGGCTTCTGCAAAAGACATGATCAGTTATAAAGCATCAGTTTGTTAGAGTGATACCTGTCTCTTCACAAGAAGCTTCCAGTTGTACCTGCCTCCATATGTCTTTTTTCTAGGCTGATGAGTCTCTCCTTTCCTTTCTGCCAATGGCTGGCAAAGTAAACTCCTACCCTGTTCATTTACTGCTTTTTTAATTTGCTATTATGTTAGTTTGTTTTTTGTTTTGAATTATACCCTCATCTTTCATTCAGGGCTCAAGGTAACGTACATTGTGCTTCCTCCTCCTGTTTTTCCACCCAATGTCCCTGTGAGATAGGTTGAGCTGAAAACAAGTGACTGGCCCAAGGTTTACTACTTCAGACTTTCTGCCATGTGTCCTGTCTGCCTCAATTAATTCTTGTACATTTGATTCTTGTAAACTACTCAGAGAAACTGACAGCTACCATTTTAGAATAAATCTGAATTTTTCAGTTATCAAGAACAATTTGATGACCCATCTAGTTAACCTCAGAACAACTTTTTATGACAAAATCACACAAATCAATGATTATTCTCAGTAAATGCGAACTTATCATGAAACAGAATACACAATTTGTAGGGTAGATATTAGGAATGAACTAACAGCACTAGAGAAATATGTTGGATCACAAGTACATTATCCCAATCACCACAGACATTTTTTTTCTGACTGCAAATGATAGCATTGTAGTTCAGTACTTTAGGATGTACCAGAAGTAGCACGTTGTTTTTAATCATCTTTGGACAGCCCTATGTAAAGCAAAGAATTAAGATAAATTATGCAGGATTTACTCACCGTTTGGAGCAATGTATTCAGCTCTGGGAGGTTCATTCTGTACCAACACTTGTCCTGTGACCTCTCAGTATTTCTAAAAAAGATAACGATAATACAATTAGCTGTTTGCACTCACTTAAGATCAGATTAATATAGATTTTGCGGAAGGAACTAACGGAAACTACAGTCACATGGATCCCAAAGCAAGTTGCAATTTGCTTCACCCAACCTCCCCCACCCAAGCTCTGCAGTTGCACATGGAAAGTTTTTTACATATGCAAGTCACTTGAAAATGAGAAGGAGCTAAGAAGAAGGGAAATGAAAGGAAGGAAACTGTACAGGGTAAATTTGAAGCTATTACTTGAATCTTCACTGACTCTAGTCATGTCAGGGCTCAGGGCTTTTTTGTCTCAATAGCAGCAAAGGTTCTTGGAGCAACCTAAAGATTAACAAATTAATATTAGGAAATAATGTTATGGACTATTTCTAGTTTTGTAGTACAGGACTACTACTGCTTTCTGAAAACTGAAGCTGTGTTAGAATACAAATACATACTTCAGATATGTCAACTACAATTATATAATTCCCTCTACATGTGTTAACCTACAGATGCATTGATTACTTGCCAGGTAGGTTGGACTAAGGCATCTATCATCTTTCAACTGAGATAACTATGCTGGCTGGGAATGATTAGCACAAAATTATGAAGAACACAAGAAAGGCGGTCAAGTTCAAGAAATGCAAGAAGACTCTAGTCTCAGAAGGCTCATATAAATAATACATCAGTGATAATTAACTGATGGGAAATAACATTTCATACCAATTTATAAATTACTGTAAGGCACTGCTATTTCCATTTGGTTCAGAATCAAATTCTGGAAAATATGATGAGGGCAAAATGTTGTTAGAGTTCCAAGAACCTTATCAGATTATATCTCCAGGAGACTGCCATACTATAGCACAAAATGAACTGCTTATAATCACATACTTTTGATAATGCCAGACTCCAATATAACAGCTATTTGATCTGTCTCTGTCTCTCTCTATAAGCCCACAAATCATTATTCATTTTTCAGTGGTTACATTTGCAAACTGCATTAAGCCATGATTTGCTGAATTAGCTGCACAATCACATTACGCCATAAATTGTGGTGTAGATACCAAAATAGCTGGATAACGCAACATAATAATTAAAACCAAGTGAGACAGATTAAGATGATGAATTCTTTGTAAACCCCTATGCAATGGAACTATAAAATCATTATTTTTTATCAAAATTAATGTTATCAAAAAGTTGTTTGCTGAGTCACACTGATTTTATTGATTTTATTTTATTTAGAAAATTAATATGCCCCCACCCATCTTACATACAAACTCTGGACAGCTAACAACAATCAATATAATAAAACCTCTATAAACCAAACAGAAAGCAGAAATTAAAAATAATAATACAATAACCAAGGCACCGTATAACAAACTTGCCATATAAACCACACCAGTATTAGGCTCATCTAATATCCTGGCCCAGCCCCTGGGGGGAAAGCCAGGTCTTCACAGCCTTCCAGAATGACAGGAGGGTGGTAGCCTTCTGGATTTTGCAGGAGTGTGTGTGTTGTTCCATACTGTGATTCTTCAGTCCCAGAAGATCACATTGTTTAATAGAGAGGATATGGAACACACTTGCCCTGTCAGATCTGGTGGGATGGGCAGAGAACCTTGGAGATAAGTGGTCCCACAAGTAATCTGGCCCTGTGCCATACAGGGCTTCAAAACACCACCTTGAATTACACCCATAAGCATATTGGAAGCCAATGCAGCTCATGCAACAGCGATGTAACCTGGGCGAACCTCAGTATGCCCAAAACTGCATGTGCCACTACATTCTGGACCAGCTGAAACTGAGAATTTCTATTGAGAATCATACAAGCAGGTTTTTAAATCATCTTTTTCTACCAGAAAAAATGCTTGTGCTGGATCTGCTGGATCTGTTGGTTTTGCCAAATAAAACACTTTTCAATTGTTAACAGCTGTGTGAACCCAAATGCTTCTCCATCAGCCAGCATCCTTCACCAACCAGATATTGCCCTTCAGATGTATTTGACTTCCAACTTCCCTAAACTCCAACCAGTTCATGCTGTTGGGAATTTGGCAACTGGAAGTCCAATATGACTATGCAGCATAATTTCCTGGAATGTAATTCACCTAAGCAGCTTAAGTCTTGAAATTCATGTACAGTATATGTTTAAAGAGGACTAATACAGTCTTCTGGACAGAAACAAGAACTACATTAGTGTTTTTAGAATGGCAGTCAACACTTTTCTTTCAGTTGTATTTAATTTTTCTTTTTTCAAAACAGCCCACACATCCTCTCAAATCACTCATTTCTCTAGAATTGGAATAGTTACCCCCACCCCATCCCAAGTTTTCGTGGAGAGAATTCTGAATGGTTATTGGCTCTCAGTAACTGCCTTCTCCTTCCCGGCCTGTCAAGACAAACTTCCTGTTCTGTTTAGAGCCAAGGACATGGAAGAGCTTTAAGATCGCCTCTGAACTGGAACTGCAGATGGGGCCTGAATGAATGAAATAAAATGAATAAAATGAATCCAATATTAACTGAAATAATTGAACAGAATAAACAAGCTACAGACGAAGCACAAAGGCCTTCAGTGAAAAAAAAACATAAGCATATTGTACATACAAAACAGCACAAAGTAGCTTCCTGGCACAAGAAATATCAAGACAACAGACTAAGCATACTTGGTGTGGATTCTCCAGCTTAGGTTATTAGGGAGCATTTTGCACTTATTGGGGTGTTTTATCTCTTAGGTGACAAAGCCTGATGTGATCCCCAGCCATAAGCACTTGAACTCCCTATTCCCCCATGCTGTGATGCATAGCTAGGCACACATCCTAGCTCAGAGGTAGTTCAAGAGAACTCACTGACAAAGGGAGCCCTTAAAGAAATGCATCTGGACCTGTGTCAGGTGTCGGGAGTGCACAGCTTTCCTACTCCTGCATTTCTCTCAGGTGCTCCCTGGCCCCAGGGCCTTGCTCTGGAGGTTCCTCAGGGTAAGGTAGCAGAGCATCTGACCACCTGAAATCCTCCTGTCTTGACACCTGAGAACAAGGAAGTGGAGAGGGCAACCCCTTCAGAGAGTCGTCTGCCTCCTCCTGTCCTTTGTTCTTAGAAGCCTCAGAGACAGTCATTGGGAATCTGGCTCCTGCAAGAGTCAAAAAAGCTTGCGGGGGGTGGGGTCGGGGGAGAGGCTTGGGCCTAACCCTCACCCTTTCCAAAGTCATTCTGAATAATGACAGGGCGGGTCTTCTGAAAGTTACCTGTTTACTTAATTGAAGGAGGAATTCTGTACCTACACAAGGGTCGATTCTAGGACAGAGCCACAGCACTGAAAAGAAAATCTAGCAAATGGGCCTGCAAGAAAATGTTGCAGCTTATTTTGATCTTCTAATAGGAGTACTCCTCCTCTTCGGATTCCAGCCAGCCACGTTCTTCTCAACAGGCTATTACACTCCCTCTGACTACCACAATTTTCTGTGTTTATTTTATACGGATCACCCAACTTTCTACTGTTAATGAGATTCCTAATCAAATAAGTATATCCTGGGGGAAAAAAGTAATCTGAGATAGCGACCTTGAATTAACCTTAACATTTTTTTTAGTCCCTGCTAACATAAAGACAAATAATTACTGAAATTTGCTGCAACAGTTTTGTTCCTCTTGAATTTTCTAGAGAAAAGAGCAGTTGAAAGTTGTTTCAAAAACAATTAAAACAGGAAGTTTAAAACAAAAATAGAACTTACAGAAACTTCGGGAAATATGGACTTTTCCATTATGCATTATCTATTATGTAATATATATATATATATATTACTTTCATCATAAAAAGAGCCAGAACTGCTTATTAGGGCTCTGTTAAATTTGGATCACAATATTAAACTATGGTTCAGGATAACATGAATGGGCAACCCATGGATTACATTCATCCCAGTATCCCATTTGCACCCTAAAATTCTGCTATTGAATTTTATAGTGTGATTTCCCCCTTTCCCCCTTCAAAAACAAGGAGAAAAATAAAAGATTCCCATTCCCTCTCTTAAAATCCATCAGAACCCCAATATTTGTAATTCACCATTTTCTGGTTTTTAAAATGTAGGTAGTGGTCACAGAATATAAGTCTCTAGATGTGTATCTGAGTATTCATGAAATTACAATGCTGTTATACTATTCAGAGAATTGCTGAGATAACTATCTACTTTCCCCAAATGTTACAATGGTGAAGTTTCAGTGGCCTCCACATTTATGTAGTAATATTTTTATATTACTGTATTTCATAAATATTGCCAAAGCAAATTTTAAAAAATGAAACTGAGGAGACATGTCTAAATTCCTTTTAAAAAGTAAGGCATAGATTAATCAGAAATCTGGAAGGAGAATACTTAAATATATCCTCTGAAATACATAATGCCTAACATGCATTTCACCTTTCAATCTTCTAGCATCCTTTCTCTGTGTGATATTTCTAGGAAGGAGGCACAGGATTTCTTATTAGAACACAAAATTTGATTTTTATTTGGTATTGATGCTTAATATAAAGATCACTGGTAAAATAGTTATTGATAGGAATCTTCTCTCCCTTCCAAATGTTGAGGGGTCCAACACTGACCTTCAAGGACATCAACTCTGTGAACAAGCTGAAAAGAAAAGGTAATTCCCTCCCAGCCCTACTTCTCTCTTCAGTTCAGAATGATTCTCTTTATTTTATTCTTCATTTGCAAATAAAGAAGAAACGGTGCAAAAGGTCCTCCCCATTAGCACAAATGTGTGTGTATGGTGTATATGTGTGTATGTATGTATACAAGTGCTTCATCTAGTATTTTTTCCCCTCTTTGCTGTGGTAGGAAGTCCCCAAAACTCTGAATTTCTTTGTTGTGGTAAGAGTCTCTGTGTTTCTTCCTTCTTCTATGGCTGAACACTGGATCACTTATTAAAAACTTCCCCTATTTTCCCTGCCACTTTCTGAACTCCTGGTTCATCTTTCTTTCACTGAATTTAAGGATCTGTTTTCTGCACCCTTTGCCTTTCTCTCATTGAAACGGTTGTTCTACACACATTATTCAATGA